CACGCATACACACCAGCTGTCTCTAAGGAAGAGAGCCCTGACAGGAGTGCTTGAGTGAATCGTCGGTTTTGCCATCTTCACACTGTTTAAGCTAACAAGCATAATGCAGCGATACAAGAATCTGTGTAACGTATATTACCCTGCTAAACACAAGAGAACGTTATATATCATTATTATGACGTCATGAGTTAGTTGCGGGATGAACAGTTTATGAAGACGTAAATATTTTATTATTTATTGGTGTGTATATAGTATATATGATATATCTACTATATATATATAGTATATAGACGACGTCGCACACATGTGTGTACATGTACACAATTCTGGGGGGGGGCGGCGAGAAATCATGAGCAATGCATGCAACGTCTACAAACTACAAAGTGTATTTTGTTTACTCGGGGTTGGTGAGTATTACATCTGGCGTATTTTGCAGACAGAACTAACAGGTTGAAGCAGGATCGCTTGTACCGCCAACCAAGTCGCAGAACACAATCAGGTTCAATATATATATAGTCGTTGATTAAAGTACATAGTAGTTCAACCCTGTCAGTATGTTGTCTTTCTCTTTCGCGGCGAGCTCTCTTTTCGTATACACAACACACAGCACACACACACACACACACACACACACACCACACACACACACACACACACACACCCACACACTCACATACACCAACACAACACATACACACGCACGGAACAAACTCCACACAACACAACATACACACACACACACACACACACACACACCACACACACAACACACCACCACACACGACACACACACACACGACACACCACACGGCAGATGCTCCGCTAAATGCTGCGCGTGTGTGGTACGTGTGTAGGTGGTGTGTCGTAAGCATCACCCCGCCTCTAGCTCAGGAAGCCTGCTGCTACCAGCATATCCCATTTAACTAGGCTCCACCGCCATTAGTCCTCTATGATGTAACCACGGCCGCTTTTCTGGCACGTGTATAAACGTGCCAAACCGTCAACGGAACGAATTATGGTTTCGGCTATGTTGGGGTTTTGTCTCTCGGCGTGGTTGTAGCCTTGTGAAGAAGCCATCTTGTGGTGTATTCTATGCTATTAGGGCACTCGGGCGCACGAAGTCAGTGCTCAGTTGTTATGTGCATACGGTCATATCTATGCTATCTATCTATCTATCTATCTATCTATCTATCTATCTATGCTATCTATCTATCTATCTGATCTATCTATCTATCTATTGATCTATCTATCTATCTATCTATCTAGCCATCCACTATCTTATCTATCTATGCTGATATATATATCTATTTATCTGATTTATCGTAGTTATCTACTATCTATTTATTATCTTATCTAGCTATCTATCTATCTATCTATCTAGATCTATCCTATCTATCTGAGTCTATTGTATCTATATCTATCTTATCTAATCTACTTCTATCTATCTATCATCTAGTTCTATCATCTATCTATCTATTCTATCGATTATCTATCTATCTATCGTATCTATATATATTGATTTATGCTATCTATCGATCTATCTATCTATCTATCTATCGTATCTATTGCTATCTATCTATCTCTCTATCTCTCATCGATCTATCTATTATCTATATACCTATCTTATCAGCTATCTAGCCATCCATCTATCTATTGATCTAGCTATCTATTAAATACATATATATTCCCGTCTCTGTTCGCATGTACAGAACATGTGTAGCAATTAATATTCCCAGCTATACCTTCTGGTGTTGTGACATCTGTGGCTGTATGTCAACGGCAGCTGCATGCTTAATTACTACAGCTCGGCCCATGGCGTCGCATAATATTCGCCGTGTATAATATTAACAATTATTCGCCGGAGGCCCGGAGGCAAGGTGAATCGTAGAGCGAAGACGAGACGAAGTCGAGGGGATTATTCAACAAGATTCACCGAGCCTGAGGCGAATAATTGTTTTATTATCATTGCCGATTATTTGGTACTTTTAGGGACAGCTTTTCTTTAAATTTCGTCAAATTTCAGGCTTTCCGCAACATTTGACAATCTAGCCCCATTTTTGACGCCACTCACAATGGTAACACTAGAGATGATATCGACAAATAAACACATAGTCTCGACAATCAGCGCAGGATTTCCTAATCACCGGCGATGATCTAATATAATATATTCGAACAAGCAGACGTTACGTTTACACACACACACACACACACATCACACACACCACACACACCACACACACACACACACACACACACACACACACACACACAACACACACACACAACACACACACACACACACACAACACGCATACACACAATCACACCGACACACACACACACACAGACACACACCACACACACAACCACACACACACACACACACACACCACACACCACCCACACACAAACACACACGCCGCACGGCACGCACCATACACTCGCAAGCACCACACACACACACACACACACACACACACCAATACACTACACACACACACACACACCACACACACATACACACACACAACACACACACACACACAACACACACACACACACAGCGCGGCGTTTGCGCCGCGCACATACGCACACACACACACACACACACACGCACGCACGCACGCAATTACACTCGCAAGCACACCAACAAACACACACACACACACACACACAACACACACATGACCATACCACACACACACACACACACACCCACACACACTCTCTCTCTCTCTCATCTCTCTCTCTCTCTCTCGCTCTCTCATCCCTAAAATCTCTATTTCCTCTCTCTCTCTTCTCTCTCTCTCTCCTGCTTCTCCTTTTCTCGCTCTCTCTCTCGCTCTCTCTCCTCTCTCTCGCTCTCTACCCCCCCTCTCTCTCTGTCTCTCTCTTCTTCTCTCCATTCTTCTCTCTCTCTCTGCTTCTCGCTCTCTCTCTCTCTTTCTCTCTCTCTCTCTCTCTCTACTGACACTGAGGAGGGCGGTCACTGTTTACACGTGACGAGTGAACGTGTGAGTGTTCTACTCTCGTCCTCAGTGGCTCGTTAACGCCCCCTAGCTCACCCTCTCCCCCACATAGCTGGAGACGGACCATTTACCGGTACATGTCGCTATCCTAGTGTCCGTTGTCAGAAACAAAATCTTAATATTAGTCTTAAGATATTATGTCTTAACCCGTTTTCCCATTCAGGAGCCCATTGTCAGAAACAAAATTATTCTTATTATTAGTCTAAGTTAACATTTTTCTTGGCACTTTTTCTCGTTCAGAAAAAAAGTACTCTTAACATTAACTTTTTTCGTAGACCGCACCTCTATATACACCGCATTAGCGAAACTGCATAACTTGCAATCACATTTCTGTAAACGAATCTACAGGAAAAAGTGTTAAAAGGTTGATGTCAATTAAGACTGATTTTGTTTCTGAAAACGGCCTCTCCCCTCTATAGTCACGGAAGATTCCCACTCACACAATGGTAAAGACAGCCCAGCAATTTTACATCGTCATTTAACCAACAAGAAATTCGCAATTGCCCAATATTGGAGACGGGCCAGCCATTTTACACTACTATAAGAAATTCAAAGGCACCCCCAAAAATCACCTTATTTCGACAGTCCAGGTTTTTACACCTCGAGAAAACACAGGGGTTCGAACGCTAGAGGGCTAGGATTCGAATTCACAGCGTTCGTAGTTGAAGATGGACACACACTATATAACCGCTAGCCAGCACCGAGGGCTGGGCAGAGCGTTTACAGGTTCGCTGTGACTCATCGAGAACCAGTGATGTGATGTGGTATGCGATGCAATGCTATTCTGTGCTATGCTATGCTACGCTATGATATGCTATGCCATGGTATGCTAGGCTACGTTACGCTACGCGATGCTGCGCCATGCTACGTTAATATATACTACGCTGTGCTATACTACGCAATGCCATGCTATGCTATTCTATGCTATGTCATGCTATGCTTTGGTATCCTATGCTTTGGCATGATATGCCATGTTATTCTACGCTATACTATGCCATGCTATGCTATGCTATACTATGCTATAATATGCTATGCTATACTACGCTATGGCATGCCATGCTACGCTACGCTATGCTATGCTATGCTATGTTACACTATGGTGTCATATGTGCATGTTACCGGTAACGCTCTCTAGCTATCCCACGCTTTTAACAGCTATCAAGACGGACGGACGGACGGACGGACGGACGGACTGACGGACGGACGAACTGACGGACGGACTGACTGACTGACATACGGACGGACATTCGGACGGACAGACGGACGGACGGTCGAATACCAAGAATCGGTGGGTTTAGCGATAGTTTCAGAGCTGGTGGCTGCATTCATGGCGGTAGAGGCTGCGGTTTTATCGTGTCTGGTTTTTGAACGATAGTTGATCACAAAGCGAAACACTCGCGCTGGATGCAAGAGTCTATCGTTTGGGTGGGCGAGCGAGTCAGTGACTGATTGCTAGAGATATGGCGGTGAGGTAGGTGGTATGAATGATAGTATAGATGAATATCTGAGTAGGTAGGTGAGTATAAAAGGGTGGGTAGCTAGAAGAGTAAATGGAAAGAGTAGGTAGGTATATGTGAGTAGATGGAAGGGTGCTTAGGAAGAGTAGATAGGAAGAGACTGGGTAGATAGGTGAGAGAATACGCGGATGGGTCGACGGATGAGTTGGTGAGTAGATGGAGGGATGGAGGAATGGATAGATAGATAGATATATAGATAGATAGATATATAGATAGATATATATATAGAATAGAATAATAGATAGAATAGATAGATAGATTAAGATAGATAGATAATAATAGATAGAAGATAGTATAGATAGATGTATGATGGATAGATGGTAAATTGACAGATATGCAAGTTAAGTGGATGCAGAGATGGATGGCGCGAGCGATCTGTTGACCTATCTGTTACTAAACAGGTGTTATTCACGACCCGCCCGGTATATTACAACGACACTACCGATAGACATACCTCTCCCAAGTCGCTTTCTGTCTGTATGATGTCCATGAGAGTCTGACATCGACCATAGCCAACAGCAGCGACAGCAAACAAGACGATGACGATATTCTGCGACATATCTGTCTCCGACGGTTTCTACAACGGAGAGGTTGACGAATCCTTACCT